TTATGTTACTTTGGAGAAGAGATTTTGCTTTTGTTTCCACAGGAAATGAGAGGGTGTGGATTCATTCTGGGCTAAGAAAAATCATGTTTGATCAAGGAGACCTCCTGAGAAATCTCCAGTAGGAGCAGATGGCCCAGATATTTGAGTTCTACTTCCAGAACAGCCACAAGACTGCTGGCTGAGATGATCAAGCCTCACAGAATATTTCAGTCAGGACTTGACCATAATTCTAAATTTTCTTTAGGTCCCTGTAAGATTATCAGTTCCCCAATCAGCAGGAATTAGCCTGGAAAACTATACCCACATTTCCCAAAAAAAAAATGGATTATGGGCCGGGCGGTGGTGGCGCACGCCTTTAATCCCAGCACTCGGGAGGCAGAGGCAGGCGGATCTCTGTGAGTTCGAGACCAGCCTGGTGTACAAGAGCTAGTTCCAGGACAGGCTCCAAAACCACAGAGAAACCCTGACTCGAAAAACCAAAAAAAAAAAAAAAATGGATTATGGATGTTTGTCTTTGTTTAGACTGTTGGTTACAAATTGTTATGGATAATGGTCTGGAAAAAAAGCTAAATAAAGGAGATTAGATTCAGAATTCTTGTTTTGAAAAAAAAGTGGAGGAGTGCTGTGGGACAATGATCTTCACAACAGACCTCTGTGTGTTTCTTTGGGACTGAACGGCTGCAGGACTGGGCTGAACAGAAACCTCTGGCAACATGCATGCATACCTGTGCGAGTCATACGACTATCAAGGATCCATTCTCTCCTTTGTCAACCTTTATGTAGTTTTCAGAGAATTAAAGGCTTTCAGGCCAACCTGGGCTACATGAAACCCTACCTCAAAAAGTCAAAACCAGAGCCAGGAAGCAGTGGTGCAGGCCTTTAGTCCCAGTTCTGGGAGGCAGAGGCAAGCAAATCTCCAAGTTTGAGGTCAGTCTGGTCTACAGAGCAAGTTCCAGGACAGTCAGGACTACACAAAGGAACCCTGACTCAAAAATCAAATAATAATAGTAATAATAATAACAAAATAAAATAGGAAAAAAAATCAAAACCAGGGCTGAAGTGTCGGCTCAGTGATTAAGAGCCTTTGCTGCTCTTGCAGTGGACAGGGGTTTGGTTCCCAGTATCCATGTGACAGCTCATAATCACCTGTAACTCCAGTTCCAGGGAATCCAGTGCCATCTTCAGACCTCTGGTAGACCAGGCACACATGTGGCACACATAATATATGCAGACAAAAGGCTCATACACATAACATGTTGTGGGAATTCAGTCCAATAGGCAATTGTATTGGGGCAGCTTGGCCCAATGGGTGTGATCTTCTCTTGGGATACTTGATCCAATAAGAACTGGGCGCAATGGGGTCGCACGGACAGTGTAGGAGCTGGCAGAGCCACAACTTGGAGTTTGAAGTCAGCTTGGTCTACAAAGAGAGTTCCATGACAGTCAGTGCTTCACAGACAAACCCTGTCTCAAAAAATTAAAATAAAATTAAATAAAATAAAGCTAGGTGTGATGGCCACACACCTTTAATCCCGGCATTGACAGCTAGAGCCAGGATCCATTATGACCTACATGGTATGTTCCAGGTCAGCCAAGGTTGAATAGTGAAACCCTCTCTCAAAAGTAAATAAAATAAAAATGAGGTGTAGTGGCCTACCCATTTAATCCCAGGACTCAAGAGGCAGAGACAGACAGATCCTGTGAGTCTGAAGCCAGCTTGGTCTACATAGAGAGTTCCAAGCCAGCCAGAGGTACATGGCAAGACCCTGTTTCAATAAACAAACAAATAAATAAATAAATATAAACAAAGGACCAATGAGATGGTGGTACTTGCTGCCAAGCCTGGACGACCTGAATTTGATCTTCAGGACTCCCTGACTTCCATACACACTCCTTCCCCCTCAAAAACCAGGGAAATATAAAAATAAATGACCCCATGTGTGTCCCCATCCTCCCAAATGATAATGGTCTAATCATCTGAAAGTGTAAGGAAACCCCCAATTAAATGCTTTCTTTTATGAGTTGTTGTGGTCATAACTGGGAGTAGTTTCGGTTCTGCAGGGATGGAAATGATTCAGGCATACTGGGCTAGTGCTGTCTTTGAGTTGTAACCCAGATCTCTTTGGACATTTTTCTTTTCTTTTCTTTCCTTTTCTCTTTTTTTCTTTCTTCCTTTCTTCTTTCTTTTTTATTTTTATTTGAGACAGTGTCTCTTCATAGCTCTGGCTATCCTGGAATTTACTGTGTAGACTAGGCTGGCCTCAAACTCAATAATACTGCCTGCCTCTAACTATACTATGTAGATCAGGCTGGTTGAACTCACAATTCTCTGCGTCTGGATTGTTGGGATTAAAGGAGTGTGCCACTATGGCGTGGTTTTGTTTTTGAGATTGAGTCTTACTATGTAACCCTAGCTGTCCTGGAACTCACTATGTCAGCTAGAGTCCACTGCCTCGCTTCAGCCTCCCAAGTGCTAGAATTAAAGGTGCTTTAAATTTTTTTCTTCAATATAAGTGTGGAACACAGGATCTTGTGAATGCTACCTAAGTGCTCTGCCACTGAGTTACACCCCAGCTCTCGGTAAAGTTTTGTTAACGACCGGGTGATGGTGGCACACACCTTTAATCCCACTCTTGGGAGGCAGAGGCAGGCAGATTTCTATGATCTCGAGGCCTGCGTGGTCTACAGAGAGAGTTCCAGGACAGTCAAGGCTATGCAAAGAAACCCTGTCTGGGGAGTTGGGAGGTAGGTAGGGGGACAATGACTACATCAAAGCACCCAGTTTGGAATCTCCAGTTGACAGGGGAGCATTCCAGCCCCTCCACCCCAGTATGCTAAGCAGCAGCTCCCTGTGGAGATCAGCGGCTCCTCCTGGGAGATGCCCTGGATGAACCCACACCCCACCTCCCACCCCCGTGGTTCTCTCTCCTGGATTTCTCTTCTCTTGGAACCACCTGACAATACTTTGCTTAGATTAAATCTGGATTTATGAATTCTTAATTCCGGCTCGGTTTGATTGGCTGTGTCAGCGGAGAGCTTTAATACTGGGAACAGAAACCATCCACAAGTTTTGTTCATTACTGTCCAAGGCAGGCCTGGTGGTGGTCTCCAGTGATCCCAGCTACGAGTGTCTGAAGAAAGAAAGAAAGCAGGGTTTAGACATTAGCAGCTAGAGCAGGCTTTATTTTACCTGGTAAATGTTCTCTGTATCTGACTACACCATGACCAGGATGTAGCACCCAGCAACACAGTGACCAGAGTTCCAGACAATGCAGACCACGTGTGCTTTAAGACCCGGTTTGTTTTTGTAGCTAAAGATGGGGAAGGGAGAAGGGGGTTTCACAGGGACAGAATGGGGAAGTTTTTCTATAAGGTGGATTTGAGGCTGCAGGGTCTGTTGTCTCTTTCTGTAATGTCCAAATAGCTGGCTTCCTGGAGCTATGAGCTCAGTTTAGAACCTCCACTTTTTTTTTTTTTTGGAGGGGATTCTTTTACTAGGGAAGATGAGCCCATTGTGTACAACGTAGGAGTAAACGTTTTGTTTTTGTTTTTGATTTTTTTAAAGGTTAAAAAAAAGTTGGGCCACCTCTACCTTTAAAATGATTAACTGACAAGGCTGGGTTGGCAAAGATCTATGGCATCAGAGAAATTACAGGCCTTAAAATAGCTGGCTCAGAAGAAGCTAAGTGCTCAACATATTTTTTGGCGGGTGGAGACTTTTTATGACTGCTTCTATTTCCTTAGGGGTTATAAGTATATTTATGTTGTTCATTTGGTCTTGATTTAATTTTGATATGTGGTACCTTTTCAGAAAAAAAATTCATTTCCTTTAAATGTTTCAATTTTGTGAAGTACATGTTTTTTTTTTTTTTTTTTTGGTTTTTCGAGACAGGGTTTCTCTGTGGCTTTGGAGCCTGTCCTGGAACTAGTTCTGTAGACCAGGCTGGTCTCGAACTCACAGAGATCCACCTGCCTCTGCCTCCCGAGTGCTGGGATTAAAGGCGTGCGCCACCACCGCCCGGCAAGTACATGTTTTTGAAGTATGATCTGATCATTCTCTGGATTTCTGAAGTGTCTGTTATTAAGTTCCCCTTTTTATTTTTGATTTTGTTCATTTGACTATTTTCTTTTTGCCTTTTGGTTAGTTTGAATAAAGCTTGGCTTATCTTACTGATTTTCTCAAACAAACAAACAAAAAAGTTGGGGCCAGGCGGTGGTGGCGCACACCTTTAACCCAAATATTCAGGAGGCAGAGGCAGGTGAATCTGTGAGTTCAAAGCTAGCCTGGTCTACAGAGCGAGTTCCAGGGCCGCCAAGACTACACAGATCCCACGACAGCCAGGAAACTACACTTTAAAAGGGTAGGGCACAAGCATGGGCAATTAACAGGCCGTTGCCAGTACTAAATATGGCAGCATCCACTCAGGGCTCAACTCACCTCACGTGACGGGGCGGAGCTTATGATTCGCTCAACACCCCCCCCCACACACACACCCGGACACGCCCACTTCTGGATTGCCCAATGAACCTGAGTTTTTTTAGGCACGCCCTTTCGTCCCTTCCACCAATAGCCGGCCGACAGCGTCCTTATAATCCAATCGTCATTTCCCTTCTCCGTTGAGTGATAAGACAGCGGCCCAGTGAGCAGGACTCGAGTCGGGCTCCAGATAGGAAGCGTTGCAGCTCGCGTCCAGAGGCGCGACGTACAAGCCGCCGGGCGGGTCTCTTCGCAGCTCGCGGACGCGAACCGGGCGACAGGTAAGTGGTGGGTTCCGAGCTCGGGCCGCGGTGCGGGGCTGTGGGTTTGCTGAAGCGGACGCCGCAGTGCAGCGGGAGGAGCCGGCGCGAGGCGGCTGGGCGGTTAGGCACCCACCTCGATTTGGCAGCCGTTGGGGTCCCTTGCGCATGCGCCAGGGGCGGGCCAGCCGTTAGTGCGTCGGCTTCCGGGAGCGATGTCAGGGCTGCACCCCGACTCCCGCCTGTGTATGGTGGCGGGATCGAGGCAGAGGGCGGTTTCACGCTGGAGTTCGGGACGACCCAGGCTTCGGCTTCGCGAGTTTGCAGTCACCTCCCTCCCATGTGGCTCTGCCGCTCCCCCGGCCGGCGTGGCGACCCACCGGAGCCCGATTCTTCACCCGGGGTCGCTTTCCGCGTGTGAGCCGGTCCAGCCCGGTTGCAGCTCAGCTTCCCTGGACCTGATTGGAACTTGTTTGGGGCAGCCACTTCCTGGGTTCACTTCTTTCATTTTCTGTCCCTGATAAAACCGAGGCCTGTCGCATTTGGGGGTATCCGCTCCAAGTAGCACCCCAACCCGTTCCTGGAACATTTGGTGTTGGTGTATCAGATCTCGTTTTTCGAGACAGGATCTCTCTACAAAGTCCTGGAATTCATTATGAAGACCAGATCAGCCTCGAACTCACTGAGATTCACTTGCATCTGCCTCCAGAGCTCTGGGATTAAAGACGTGTGCCACTTGGTCCCTCTTCACATTTATTCCTTAAATAGCACAAGAAACGTTTTTAGAGCTATATTGCCTAAAAGCATGAGGGGCCATAAGATAGGTTCTCGTTGAGTCGAGGCTGTCCTTGAACTTTTAATTTGTGTGTGTGTGTGAACGAGTTACTTGTGTGCAGGTGTTCCTGGAGGCCGGAAGAGGGAGTCGAACTTCCTGTACCTGGAGTTAGAACGTGGTTGTTAGGGTAGGTTGAAAGTTAGGTTGAGAACACTAACTCAGGTTGTCTGAAAGCAGCATTTTAACCGCTCCGCCCCCTCTCCTGGCTAGTCTTGAACTCTTAAGATTTTTGTTGTCGTCATTGAGACAGGATCTCACTCTGCAGCCTTTGCTGGCCGGAATTCACAGGGTTCTGCCGGCCCCAGCCTCAGGCATTTTTTAAAGTTCATTTTAAATCCCTGCAGCTGTGACACAAGCCTTTAATCCCAGCACTCGGGAGGCAGAGGCAAGCTGATCTCTGAGTTCGAGGCCAGCCTGGTCTACAAGAGTTAGTTCCAGGACAGGCTCTGAAAACTCTCAGGGGAGTGAGGGAAAGTGTTAATTTTAATATATGCTTGGCATTGCTTAGAAATTTAAGCACACATGTCCTGGGCTGTCTAGCTTCTCTCTCCTAGCTGTCTGCTTTAGTCCTGTCGCTGGGGTCTGGTGCTTTAGTGACTGATAAACTTTTTTTTGAAGATTTTATTATGTATACAGTGTTCTGTCTGCACACTAGAAGAGGACACCAGATCTCATTACAGATGGTTGTGAGTTGCCATGTGGTTGCTGGTACTTGAACTTAGGACCCCTACAAGAGCAGCCAGTGCTCTTAACCTGGCAGTGCTCTCCAGCCCCCACTGATAACTTTTGAAGGCATTTTTATTTTGTGTATGTGTGTAGATCAGGGCCATTTGTCAGTTCTCCGCTATGTGGAGTTTGGGGAATCGTACCTTTACCTACTGGGTAGTAAGTAACCTTTCTTGATGGGCAAATGTCCTGGAGCTCAGAGATCCTGCCTCATCCTCTTGAGAACTGGGATCAAAGGTGTGTGCCACCACACCTAACTGAGGAGAGCTTTTTAAAATTGATGCTAAAAGGAAGTACACGTCTGAAGAATAAGCACCCGACTAAGTGTGCGTTGGAGAGGGGAGGTCATGACCGTGTGCAGGCAGCAACTGCAATAATATAAGGTGTGTGTGGGGTTTGTTGTTAAGATAGGATCTCATTGCAGTCCTGGCTGTGTAGACAAGGCTGGCCTGGAACTCACAGAGATCTGCTTGCTTCTGCCCTGAGTGCTAGGATTAAGGATGTGTGCTACCACCTGGCATTATGAAAATATTTTATTTGATGGTGGTGGTGACCAACAACTTAATCCCGGCACTTGAGAGTGGGAGGAAGATCTCTGAGTGTACAGAGCGAGTTCCTGGACAACTAGGGCTACACAGAGAAACCCTGTCACAAAAAAGAAAAAAAATGAAGCATTGGTTTATGTTGCATTGTGGATGTGCACTGAGAACAGTGCAGAATGAAGGATTGAAGAAGTGAAAGGCCATGTGATGCTGTCTGAATCTGTTTATAGAAAATGTCCAGGAAAAGCTAGTCTTCAGAGATGAGAAGCAGATTAGTGGTTCTGGGAGGTAGGTGGAGGCTAAAGGGTAGAGGTAGTTTCACTTTTGTGGTTGGGGATGAAGACCAGGGCCTCTCACATGCTCCGCATCTACCCCTGAGCCACACCTCCAGACCCAGAGTCTTTTTTTTTTTTAAGTTTATTCATTTTATTTTCTGTGACCGTTTTGCCTAAATACATTTATATTTACTGAGGGCATGCTTTATGACTGGAGGTCAGAGAGGACATTGGGTCTCCTGGAACAGGAGTAAACCATGTGGGTGCTGGGAATCGAACCCTAGTCTTCTGAAACTTAACCACTGAGCCATCTCTCCAGTCCATCAGGTTTTCTCTTATAAAGGTGGTGGCGTATGTTAGAGTTGATTGTGCTGATGCCGACATGTTTGTTGACTCCTAAATTATGTACTTTGGAGAATTGTATAGCATTTTACTGTTTTCAGTAAAGCTGTTCCAATTTTAAATAAAAAAGGCCTTCACCTTGGGGCCAGCATGGTTTCCTATGTGAGAAGTGACTAGGTAGACATGACTGGATTTGGTGAGTGGGCTTGCTGGACAGGATTTGCTGCTCAGTCAAGACTGTCTCTGAGAATAGAATAACTTTCTGAGATGGATGCGGCCTCGAGGAGAAACAGAAATCTTTGCCCTAGGCCTTTTGAATTCAACTCCTAAGGGTATGGGAAGATAACTGAGAACTGGTCTGGAGTGGAAAGGCATATGACTGGAAACAAAGTTGGGACCTTAGCATAGACGTGACTGAATTTGGATAAAGTCAGAGGGAAGAAAGAGGGCCAGAAGTGGGTCTAGTATGTTAGCGTCTGACCTCAGCAGACCAGGGACAACAGTAGATGAGCCTGGCTGGTATATGCCTTGTACTTGGCATTTGAGGAATTAATGAAGTGAGCGGGGAGCTTGTCCCCTGTGGATTCCATTTAGCATCTCAGCTGGCTGGCTTTCTTGCTTGCCTGGCCCAATGGGAACCCTTTTCATAAAAGCACTTAATGATTCCCCTGTGTTGACCACAAACAGCCAGGGTGGGGTGGGCAGGGCAGGGCAGGGCAGATGCTGCCTGCTCCCTTGCCACCATTCCTTTCTCAGCACCCAGGCAGCCACAACTGCAGGTCCTAGGTCTTGCTTCATTCAGGTTCTGGGAGGTCCTTGGAGGGGATGGGTCTGAGGAGCCTTATTAGTGCTGAAATTTGAATGTCAGGGAGGGCACATTAATCAGGCAAGGTGGTGTCTGCCTGTAATTCAGAAACTTGTAAGGCAAAGACAGGAGGATCACTGCAAGTTCTGGACCAGCCTATATATATAGTAAGATCTTTTGTATTTTTTTAAAGATTTCTTTATTTATTATATATACAATATTCTGTCTGCATGTTTGCCTGCACACAGTAGAGGGCATCAGATCTCATAGCCGTTGTGAGCCACCATGTGGTTGCTGGAAAAGCAGTCAGTGCTCTTAACCTCTGAGCCATCTCTCTAGCCCTATTAAGATCTTTTAAAAAACAAAACAAAAACCTCACAAAGAAAGGGAGGAATTCCTCAGTTAGTGAATGCTTGTCAAGGAGACACAAGCCCCAGCATGATATTAAAAAAGGAAAAAAGTGAGGTGGCATACACCTGTGATCCCAACACTTGGGAGGCAGAGACAGGCAGATCCCTATGACTTCGAGGCCAGCCTGGTCTACATAGCAAGTCTCGGACAGCCAGGGTGATGTAGTGAGATCTGTTTCAAAAACAAAAGTTGAGTGTGCAGAGACTTAGGAGCAGGGCATCCTTGGGGTGGAAGGATGGTCTGATGAGATGAAGAAGGGGGAAGGAATCAGAGGCCAGGCCAGGAGGTGTGATCACTATCACGTATTTTATCTGTGGTGTTGGGGACAGAACCTGCTAGGTAAGTGCTCTATCACTGAGCCTCATCTCCAGCTGTAATGTGGGATTGGTATTTCACTGAAGACCTTAGCATGCTTGACGGTGGTGGCATTGGATGGGGGAGTGCGGTATGTAGCAGATGAGAGGTTGCTGGGAGGGTGGTGATGAGGGGCAGTATAGGCCAAAGTGGGAGGCACTGTGTAGGCACACCACTGAGCTCTGCCTGCTTAAGGGTTTGCCCTGCCAACCCCTTTCCTGACCTGCCTTCTCTACCAAGTGGATTTTCCTGCCTGCATCTCAGCTTCATCTCTGCCTTCCCTCTGCCTTCTGTTCTCAGTGCCATGGCAGAACAAGATGTGGAAAATGAGCTTTTGGACTATGATGAAGATGAAGAGCCCCAAGCACCCCAGGAGAGCACTCCAGCTCCCCCAAAGAAAGATGTCAAAGGGTCTTACGTGTCCATTCACAGTTCCGGTTTCCGGGACTTTCTGCTGAAGCCGGAGCTCCTGAGAGCCATAGTTGACTGTGGCTTTGAGCATCCTTCAGAGGGTATGTTTCCCTGGTGTCACCCCCCTCCCAGCCACACCCGCCCCACGAGTCAGTTATCAGCAGTCCCTGTGCAAGTAGGTGGCTGGTACCTGACCTCTGCCAGAGGAGTGTGTAGGGAGGCAGCATCCAGTCTCTTACTCATTTACCCTTTTCTTCCCCAGTCCAGCATGAGTGTATTCCCCAGGCCATTCTGGGTATGGATGTCCTGTGCCAGGCCAAGTCTGGGATGGGTAAGACAGCTGTGTTTGTGCTGGCCACCCTGCAGCAGATCGAGCCCATCAATGGCCAGGTAAGGGTGTGGGTTTCTTTCTGGGCTGGGATCCCATGTGTGCAGCTTTGGGTGTCATGAAACTTTCATAGTCTCTGTGTACTTTTGATTTTAAGCTGGGGATTGAAGCTATAGTGACAGTAACAGTCCCCAGTGTTACTGCTGATTTGTTAAGCAGGTGTTCTAATACCACCATTGTAGGTCAACTACAAGGTCTTAAGAGTTATACTTGAGTCCAGGATAGGAAGCTGAGGCAGGATTGAGAGTTCCAAGCTATGGGAAGACTCTGTTTAACAAAGAATGTCAGGTTGGGGTGTGCTGGAGTTTGACTGTGTGGTAGAGCTCTTGAGTGGCATGTGTGAGGCCGTGGTGTGTATCCTTGGGTGGGTGGGTGTCTTTTTCAGGGCCTGGCACGAGTGTGGTGAGGGCTATGCTGTGGGTGGGTGAGAAGACATGCCATCCTGGGGTAACCCTTTCGTTGCTACCTTTCTGTTCCTGGCCTCTTGAGGGAAACAGGCTTTAGTTGCCATGAGAGAGTTTGAGGAGGATAGGTAGGCTTAAGGAGAAGGTGGAGATAGATGTTCGGGCCTTCAAGCAGCTGTGTGGAAGGAACTATCGTGATAGGCACACCGTGTGTTGGGGTGGATAGGTGTGGATTCTGGGAAAGCATGTGTTTCTTGCCTTCTCTACAGGTATCAGTACTGGTCATGTGCCATACAAGGGAGCTGGCCTTCCAGATCAGCAAGGAATATGAGCGCTTCTCTAAGTACATGCCCAGCGTTAAGGTAAGCCTCCTCGGGTGCTGTGTTGGGTCATGCTGGCCTCAGCTCCAGCCCAAGAGGCATTTATCAAGCTTAAGGTTAGTGGTAATTTGTGTTCTTAAGTCTGATGAATTATGCCCAGCCTCCACAGGCTTGTGCTGGTCCCAGGTGTCTCTTTTCATCAGAGCTAGCCTCTCAGGCTTGCCCCTGCTCTTCGGGCTTGCCTGGGTTTTGAGAGAGTGGGGCTGGTGTACCAGATGCCCCCAGGATGGGTGGAGCCTGTGCTGCAAACATTACTGATCCCAGAAAGGTGAAAACAGCTCCTTTTCTGTCCCCATAGGTATCTGTGTTCTTTGGGGGCCTTTCCATTAAGAAAGATGAAGATGTGTTGAAGAAGAACTGTCCCCATGTTGTGGTGGGGACACCAGGCCGGATCCTGGCACTCGTACGGAGCAGGAGCCTCAACCTAAGGAATGTGAAGCACTTTGTGCTAGATGAGTGTGACAAGATGCTGGAGCAGCTGGGTGAGCATCCCACTGGCCTGCCCAGCCAGTTCCCCACTCAGAGTCACGGCAGTTTTCTAGGGGGCCTGATGGATGGGACAGTGGGTCACATGGGTGGCCAGAACTCAGGGCTCCTGGGAGAAGCCTAAGGGGAATGTCCAGTGTTGACAGAGTATGCGCTGCTTCTGAGCCCAAGTTGAGTGGAACCATAGGCCCCATGAGTTGCCATCCCTTTAGGACATGTAGGCATACCCAGGGGATCTGGAGGAATAGTGTGGCCTCTGCCACCCATCGGGGGCTGGGAGAGATGGGCATGTGTCCTGGGAAGCCACTGCAGCTCTCACGCCAGCGGGTGTCTCTGCCTCAGGCTCCCTTTCCCGAAGCATGGCTCAAGGCGCACTGGCAGAGCCGCTCCATGCTGGCAGCGAGTAAGTGGACCGCGGCTCCTCCCATGCCTGCGCTCCCGCACGCCCGCCCATCCGAGCCCAGCCCCTCAGGCAGCGGGGGACACCCCTGGGCCCACTCCACCATGACCATGGTGCCAATGTTCTCTGGCCCAGGTTGGGGAGGGCTGGTTCCTCTCTGGTGTGGGTCTGCTCAGTCAGACAGGACACTCAGCTTGTTGTATGTTGGCATCCCATCCAGACATGCGCCGGGACGTGCAAGAGATCTTTCGCCTGACACCCCATGAAAAGCAGTGTATGATGTTCAGCGCCACCCTGAGCAAGGAGATCCGGCCAGTCTGCAGGAAGTTCATGCAGGATGTGAGTAGGGGATGGCCCGGCTAGCCACCTGCCAACAACTGAGGGCAGCAGCTTTGGCTCTCCCAGGGCCTGAGCCACTCCACGACACACCAGCCTCACTTCCTCTGGTTTGTCAGACTAGGAGCTGAGAGTGCTCTGCACCCGAGCCAGAGCAGAGCTTACATCTGGCTTTTGGGAGGGAATTGTTTACTGAGGTTGGATGCAACAGGCCCTCTGGAAGTCATACTACAGAGGAACTGTTCCCTGGAAGGTTCCGGGCACATGAGATGCCCAGAAGTGAGCCCTACTTGCTCCTTCCTGCTTCCTTTCCTATACAGCCCATGGAAGTGTTTGTGGATGACGAGACCAAGCTCACACTGCACGGCCTACAGCAGTACTATGTCAAGCTCAAGGACAGCGAGAAGAACCGGAAACTCTTTGACCTCCTTGACGTCCTAGAGTTTAACCAGGTGATGTTCCTACTTGCCCACACCAAGATCTGGGACCATGGGTGATTCTCCATGGGCCTAACTAGCATTCTCTTTTCTTGAGGTGGTGATCTTTGTCAAGTCTGTGCAACGCTGCATGGCCCTGGCCCAGCTCCTAGTGGAACAGAACTTCCCAGCCATTGCCATTCACCGAGGCATGCCCCAGGAGGAGCGGTGAGTGCATGATGTCCACCATGGCCAAGGGTGCCCCTGGGACCCACCTGTGTTTGATGTCTCTGTTTGTCTCCCACTCTAGCCTGTCCCGCTACCAGCAGTTCAAAGACTTCCAGCGGCGCATCCTGGTAGCTACCAATCTGTTTGGTAGAGGTATGGACATTGAGCGAGTGAACATCGTCTTCAACTATGACATGCCAGAGGACTCAGACACCTACCTTCACCGGGTGAGTGAGTGCCCCCTCCCAGTGTGGGTGGATCAGGGCCCTCCCTTTCTCAGATCTGCTGACCCCATCTCCCTGCAGGTGGCTCGTGCTGGTCGCTTTGGTACTAAAGGCCTGGCGGTCACTTTTGTATCTGATGAGAATGATGCCAAAATCCTCAATGATGTTCAGGACCGGTTTGAAGTGAATGTGGCAGAGCTTCCAGAAGAAATAGATATCTCTACATACAGTAAGTTGCTAGGGCCATTCTGGGCACAGGAGAGCTGGGCTTCCAGAGCAAGGCCCCTCCTCCCTCACTGCCTCACTCTTGTCTTTACAGTTGAACAGAGCCGATAACCATACGTGTAACCAAGTACCACGGCCACCTTTCCCACCTGCTGCTCCAGATCCTCTTCCTAGATAATAGATGGGTGTATCTTTTTATTGTTCCAAAGCTGTAGTTATGTAAGAATAAAGTTTTATTGTGGACTCCTGGCTCCCAACCATCTTTCTTCTCTTGGTCAGCATTTCATGAACTTGAAGGCCAAGCAAGCACCTCTACCAACAAACATGCCACCTGTTTTGCATCAGGATATTTAATTTTATGTGTCAACATTGAGAGGTTTACAGGTTTAAAAATGTTACAAAACATAACAATGAGACCCTTCTGCCCTGGATGAGGGACAGCTGGGCCTCTGTACCGTGAGCCTCGGCAGCAGGCAGGATCACTGATGGCTGACATCAGTCTTAGCTTAAGGAAATTGAACCCAGCACCCTGGCCTCTTACGTGCCAAAGACAGTTGCAAAGAGCCCAGGCCAAGGGACCTGCACTCTATCCCCAGGACTGCCTGCTTCATGTACCACGGCAGTGGGCTGCAGCTCTGTACTGGCTGGCTTCTGTTTCTGTGGTAGGCAGTAGCTGTGATGGGGCAAAGAAGCAACCAGAAGCAGGACCCGTGGCCCCATTCCCACTCGCTGCCCGGTGTACATCCCTTTATCAGAAATGGGCCAAAGCTGGGAAGATGGCGGCAACAGAAGGCAGGAGAGCGACAGCTTCGAGCATGTGCTGGTGACCCGACTGGAACTTGCCTTCACATCCCTGATTCTGAGGCCCTGAGAGACCGTGTTTGACTCTGGCTGGTGCCAGTGCCCGCTGTGGAAGAGCTGAACTCCGAGTACTTGTTGCCAGCAAGCATGCAGGCCCACTTTCGGTATTCTTCCCTCACCTGTGAGCCAGAGGGCGCCAGGTTAGGGTCACAAAAGGAATCAGGCCTGGCCCGGCCCTGTCTACCTCCACCCCAAGCTCTTCCCACAGCTGCCTCTGGTCTGCCTACCTTCTTGTTGAGCAGGCAAAGCATCAAGAAGAGGAAGAGGCCTTGTAGGCAGTTGAGCAGGGTGAAGATGTAGGACAGCCATCTGCTGTGGGGGTCGAAGAGGAACAGGCCGAAGACCCAGGTACTACCCAGCACGATGAGTTGGGCAATGGCTGTGATGGTCAGCACCCTGGGAGGGGGTGGGCAGTTGCAGCTAACAGTCTCTGCAACTCCCCAGCTCCCTGCTCAGGCCCTAACTCTCCTCACCCTGGCTCCGCCAGCCTTCCCCGCTGCCCCTCTCACCTTGCTTTCCTTAATTTCTTCATGTTTGGGTTGATTTCAGAAAACTTTGCTGTGAGCTTCCAGACAGTGATGAGGAAAATGGCAGAGTTACACTGGGTGGAGAATATGGGTCAGGGTTAGGGGGTTGCTGGTAGTTAGGAGGCTTGCTGTTCAGGTCTCCAGTCCCCAGAGAGCACTTACAAAAATGATGAAGGCCAGGGGTCCCACAAAGCTCCAGAGAAAGCCGTCCTTATAGTTTAACCAGCAGCTGGGGAGAAGACGACAGTACCTTGTCAGTGGCCCCGGCCACCAGGTCCCAGCCCTCCACTCCAGCCTCACCTCGACAGAGAGAGACTCACTATGTTTGCTGTCCATAGCCATCCAATTTGGCAGCCGCTGAGATGGCCACAATGAGGAGGGGCACCCCATAGCCTATCAGACAGCGCCACTGTATGCTCAGGCCTTGGCCCTGGAACACACGCACCACGAGGAAGTAGAGCTCCACACCTTCCAGGGCCATCCAGCAGAAGGCCGCCAGGAAGAGGTAGTGCAGCAGCATTGCCACCAGGCGGCAGCGTGGGCTCACCTGTGGGCACAAAGGGTTGGGCTGGCAGCTGGGCTCAATCAGCCTGATGGGGCGCCTTCCACACTGAGCCCCAGGACAGACTGGGCTACCCTACTCCTAGGTCTTCACTCCACGCTCTAGTGAGGTCAAGACAGGAACATACCTCACCCCCTTCATTCTCGACGCCAACCAGGAATATGAGCGAGCCCAGGAAAAGGCAAATGCACAAGTGCAGGTGCACCATGGTCCGGGAGCTCTGGATGGGCTTCACCAGCAGGAAGGTCAGGATACACAGCAGCAGGCAGATGAGGGAGAGGGACAGCCCCACCTTGGTGATCAACTCCAGTCTCGGGTCCTAGGGGCGGGCAGGGGCAGGGGTTGAGGGTGGGCTGGGGGGGGGTTACTCCTCTTTTCCCTACACACTTATTAACTTGTTAGCACCCTCACACGCCTGTCTTGAACCACAGGGCCAACTCTGCCTGGCTAAAATAATTCCAGCTGACCACGAGACTCAGGTTCTGGTCATATTCAGAAAGCTGTACTTTCTGGGATATTCTACACAGGGTCTTTTTATTACATTTATGTATTTGTGTGTATGGCATGAAGCATCTGCCTGCCCCTCACTGTATGTGTTTTCTAGAGATGAAACTCAGGTTATTAGGGCTGAAGTGTATAGGCATGTTTGTTGGCTTACTAGCTAGCCCATCTCATCTGCACAGACTTGCATTTTTAGCAGTGCCTCATATTTGTTCAGGGACTCGGGTGGGGGCCTGCATCCATCAGCTACTGGGTCACAGGACTCCAGGGGAGGAACTGAGACACAGGGCATGGGGCTATTCAAGGGGACCTACTTGAACACCCAGTGGGGTACACCCTTGAGTGGGTCCTATGGTTTGCCTTAGGCAAGCCTGGATAAATGGTGTGGGGACTTACCACTTACCTGCACGTGGTACTGGGCCATTAGGATGGCGAAGCTGCTCAGATGGTTGCACTGGCAGAAACCAGTGTCATTCATTGAGCAGCCGTCAGTGGCCCAGCGCCCACTCCCATTGTCACCAGTGTCCCAAAAGGCACATATCAGCTGTTCACGGGGCCGCTTTGACTCCACCTACAGGCAGACAAGCAATGAGGGTGTCCAAAGCACAGTTAGAGTCTGGGGTAAGCAGAGGACCTTGCTTTTGGTCGCATAATATGTCTACTCTGCGCAGAGAGCATGGGGAGCCAGCAATGGGATGACAGGACACCAGTCCCTGCTGTGAGCTGAAGCAAATCACAACCAGTTAACAGGTAATAAATGCCAAAGAAATTAAAAGAATCTGTGGGGAATGGTTGCTTTAAGATTGTAATTTAAAAACAAAAACCAGGTTTATTGGATGTACTGCAAGGGAAGGGTCCCCATGCTACCATGCTCCATCCATCCATCCATTCACCCACAAATTTAAGACAGTCTCAGTATTCCAGATTGCTCTCAAACTCACTAGGTGGCTGAGGACGATGATGCTTTTATATTCCTGCTTCTACCTCTTGAGTGTTTGGATTATATTTTATGTAGTCATTTAATCTTTGAATCTAGGGCTTCATGCATCCTAGACAAATACTCTACCAACTGAGCTATATCTCCAGCCTAGACTAATTTGTTTAACTTTAAAATTTTTGTTTTTTCAAGACAGGGTTTCTCTGTGTAGTCCTAGCTGTACTAGAACTTGCTATGTAGATCAGGCTGGCTTCAAACTCAGATCTGCCGGCCTGAGTGCTGGGAATGAGCTGTCACTTCCACCTTTAATCCGCTCACAGCAGACATCAGCAGACACAGGTGGTTGTTCTTCCAGAGGACCCAGGTTCAATTCCCAGGACCCACATGGTAGCTCAAACTGTCTAATTCCAGTTCCAGGGAATCTGATGCCCTCTGTGGCCTCCGTGGGACCCGGCATACATGTGGCGCACAGATTCATATAGGGAAAACACCCACACACATAAGACTTTTTACAGTTACATTGGTGGGGTTGTCCTTGTGCTCCAGCCTGCATAGGGAAGGCAGAGCATGTCTTGGGAATTGGTTTTCTCCCACGATGTAGGTCTTGGAGATGAGCTCAGGTCAGGAATTAAACTGAGGCCTGGTGAAAAGCACCTGTCTGCTGAGCCATCTTGTTGGGCTTAGACTGTAGTGTTGTTTTGTTTTTTAACCTTTTTATGGTACTGAGGATCAAGCCCAGACCTTACTTACTATGACAGGAAAACATTCTTCCTGAGTCAACTACTAGCCTTGCCTGCCAGCTGTTTATTTGCTCGCTCATTCATTCATTCATTCATTCAGCAGTGAACCCAGACCCTTCTGAATTCTAACCAAGTACTGTATCACTGAGTTTGAAGACAAGTCCTCACCCAGGCTGGCCTTAAATTGACTCTGCTTCAGGCAGGCTTTGAACCTTGACTCTCCTCCCTCCCTGCAGCTGGGAGTGAGACACTTATGCCACAAGACCACAGCTCATGCTTTGCTTATTTTTTGAGACAGGGTCTCTCTTGAGAGCTCTATCCTGTAACTCTCTCTATAGACCAGGCTGGCCTCGCTCAGAGACCCTCCGAAGTGCTAGAATTAAAGGCATGTGTCACCATACCCAGCTGTAATTTAAAAAGTTTTCTGTACTTTTAGTGTTTTTTAAATTATAGCTAGAAAAAGAGTAGGTCACTTTTGGTTTTTCTTTTCTTTTTGGGGTGTGTGTGTGTGGCCCTGACTGTCCTGGAAATCACTCTGTAGACCAGGCTGGCCTTGAACTCAGATCCACCTGCCTCAGCCTCTGAGTACTGAGATTAAAGGCATGTGCTACCACCACCCGGCTAAATTGGTTTTTCTTTGGTTCTGTCCTTCTACCATGTGGGTCAAGAAGAGCCACCTTGACTTTGGGTAGGGAATGAGCAGCAGAGCATCCCCTCCCCCACTCTTCCCATTCAGGGACTCACAGAAGAATAGGAGAATTTGAAGGTGACGTTCGAGGTGAGCTTCCCAGTGTCTGTGTTGGTCAGGAAAATGGAGCTGATGTTTGAGAGGAGCGTGAGTGACACATTCAGAACTGGGCTTTCGTAGAGCTCCTCCAGTAGATCCCGACTCTGGGTCAGGTCCATGGAGGCATTGGCCAGCAGCTTCTGCATGTTTGGACTGGACAGGATGCCTGCCAAGGAGTAGCCTGGGGGCAGAGATGCAGGCTTGCCTCCTGTCCTCCCTCCATTGCCATCCTCCCAGTGAGGACATCCACCTCAGTCTAAGGTCCTCCCGAGGAGCTGCTGTCTGCCTGTCCCACACCCCAGACCTCACCCTGGCTTCCCTGGAAGGT